AAAAAATGGAATATAAATTTTAGTACTCACATTAAATGTAATGTAACTCGAAAAATGTTTGTTTAAATGAAAAAATATAAGATAATTTTTTTGTTTATAATTGTTTTTTAAACAACTTTTGTACGAAACTTTTTTTTGTAAGTTAAATATTTTTTGAGAAAATTTAAAAAGCTCATATTTTTGAACTTTTGCGGGGCTATAAAAAAAAACTCAATTTCAATCAATGAAGACTATTAGTATGTCATTATACATATTTTAATTCAACTATTAATAAAACAAAATTTGGTTGGGAATTTTTTAAGAAATTTTTCCTTTGTTGACTGGCCTAGATGTCAATTTTAAATTTGTAATTGAGCTAAAAGTTATGGTAATATATTCAATTTTTTTTGCTATAAACTTTCATAAATCTTTATCAAAAAATTTTCATTAACTTTAAAGAACCAAAAAAATAGGTTAAAAATGAAAATTTGTACTGATTATTTTTAACATATTAAAAATCTAATCAGTAATAATTTGAAAACAATTTTTTTTTTTCTTTTAATTATTATTTTATATGTAATTAGTAATAATATAAAAAATTAGAACTGATAGATAAAGTCTAATTGCATATTTGAAAACAACGCGAAAATTTGATTTAGAAAAGTACATTTTTGCTTCTAATGAAAGTTCCTTGAAGTCCAGTGCATTCATTTATAGTAACAAACAGTTTTTATGATGGTTNAATTACGTTTGGAGATAACTTGGTTAATAATTATTAACCAAGTCTGCAACAAAATCCTCCTTCAGAAAACTATATCATAAATATGTAGATTTTGATGCTCTAAATCTGTTCTCGAAGGCCGATTTTTTCTATCACGTCTCAATTTTTCGATATGAATTTTTTTCGGAAATACCATAAATTTAGGTTTTTTTTTAATTCGTTTTTAGTGTTAATATTATGAACAACGTATATACATACGAATTAGTTTTTTGTTAGTCGTAAGAGAAAGAAAAAAAAGGCGGAAAGTGATTTTTATGGTAGTACATATGTGCCTGCGCCGTATTCACTGAGACTTTACAACAGTTAGTTGAAAACTCGTCTTTTGATTGTTTACGTTCTATATCAAATATTTTAGTGAGTTTTGCACAAAATTCATATTATATACATATGTATATATATATATAGTATTTTATGTGTAAGTTAATAATTTTTTTATAAACAGAGATAATAACTATAAAATAGAAATTAAATAATTTTTTCTAAATAGATTCCATTCAATTTTAGGTTATGAAATGCCGCGTACTTGTAAAAATTCTACAGACAGCTTTTGCTATATTTGTGGTGAGTTTACTCTGAAAACACAGCGAAATGCGATAACAGATCTTGTTAAAAAAGCTTATCAGCTTTATTTTGGATTCCCTATCGTTGAAAGGGATAAAAGTTGGTTACCAAAAATTTGCTGTAATAGTTGTTCAAGAACGTTGAGAGGTTGGCTTGAAGGAAGTCACAAATCTATGCCATTTGCGATGCCAATGCTTTGGAGTGAACCTCAGAATCATGAAAATAACTGTTATTTCTGCATGACATCAACACGAGGGTTCTCGAAAAAGAATAAAAATAAGATTATATATCCAATCCTCTCATCTGCAAAGAGACCAGTTTTTCGTGGTAAAGGCAGTTTACCTCCATTAGCTCCAAAAAAGAGCGACAAGATGGAAAATAAAAATACTTCTGGTCTTCAGTCTCAATTGAGTTTCATTTCTACCTGTACATCTTCATCATCATACACTTTATCTGGATCTTCAAGCCCATCAAAAGAACCTTAAGTATATTTTTGCATCTGATGAAAGTTCCTTGTAGTCCAGTGCATTTTTTTATAGTAACAAACAGTTTTTATTGAAAATTATTGTATTAAGCCCTTTAAATTTTTATACACGTAAAAATAAAGCAAAATACAACTTCTTTATTATTTTTATAATTTCTCCGTTTAAATTACAATATTAAATTATTGAATATCAATTTTATACTAAATTTAATAATTATAATTAGTATTTATTCATATATTATATTTTAAAATCAATGAACTACTAATTAGGATATAATTAAAGAAATAAGAGTTGATGTTGCTTTTGGAATAATCCACCAATTTCCTACTTTAAAAAGAAAAAAAAAAATTGGTTAGGGATTTCTTCTGTTATTCGCCAAAATTACTCCTTCGTTGACTAGAATAAATCATTAAATAGAAAATTTGATGAGAATTAAAACAATGTTATTTTTAAGATTAATATGCAGTCAGGAAATTTTATAATTAATATCTACAGTATTTATCAGAAAAACTCATTATTTTTTTGCATTTTTATCTTAATACAACACTTAAATAGAAATCATAATATCATTTCTAAGTAATTTTTGGTATTTAAAAAGATTCTACAATTGAAATATCCAGAACTGAATTAATTTTAATTATTTACTTTAACTAAAAAATAAAAAGTTAATATTTTGAATCCCTCTTATGGGCAGGTAAAGTGTTAGATTTATAAAAAAAAACCAAATGATAGATAAAGACATGCATCTATATAAAAAAAAAATGTACTGATTTGGTCATTTTTGATAAAGTTTAATAGTTAACAAAGTTATAAGTTTTATACACTGTACTACAAGGAACTTTCATCAGAATCAAAAATATAATATTCTAAATCTACATTTCTCTATGTTTTCAAATGTGCAGGATAGTTTTTTTTTAGTTTTAGTTATTATTGAGGTAGACGTAATGCCCATGCACTCAGACCTGTTGGTCCATTGTTTGCACCTCATACCGAATTGTCTTAATNATGCACTCAGACCTGTTGGTCCATTGTGCGCACCTCATACCGAATTGTCTTGATTCGGTTTACCCACCTAAGTGTTATCACCAAAGTGTTAATACATTACCAACCATAAAGTCACCTCTAAAGATGACCAAAGAGTCCTGTCTTTCTGGCGAAATTAAGTATCTCTCTGGGTTTTAGGTTTTTAATATCCTCTTTTTCAGGAAATGGTTTATTCAAGTAGTTTGATCTTAGTGTGGACAAGGCTTCACATTCGCACATGATGTGAAATGAGTCTTCCTCTTCTACTCCACACTTCCTGCACAATGGTGATTCCGATACCCCCATTGCGTTAAGATGCTTAAGCAGGTGACCATGTCCTGTCAGTAGACCAGTCAGGGTGCTTATTTGATGTCTAGTCATGCTATTAATATCACCCAGCAATAAACCAGGGGTCTTGATAAATATTTTAGATTGTCTAAGTACTACCAAGTACTTCCAGATTTTCCTGTGTTGTTCTCTGCACCAATTCTTGGGTAACGCTTTGAGCGATTGCTCAGTGAGTCCTACCACTGGTTCTGGTCCAACATAGGTGTTCTCTGCTCCTTTTCTGGCTAGAAAGTCAGCATTCTCATTCCCAGTGACACCGTTGTGTCCCGGTAACTTTCTTGAACCTCGATAGTGATTCTAAAGTTTCCCTGCATTCGAGGACCAGCGTTGAATTCACTTGATCGTTACAGAGTGCTTTCAAAGCCGCTTGACTATCACTTAAGATAGTTATCTTCCTATTTTTGTATATCAGCAGGTTCTGAGCCCCTAACAGTATCGCCATCACCTCTGCTTGGAAAACAGAGGGTGTTGTGCCCAGTGACAGACTGACATTTATTCGTGGCTTTAAGCCCCAAATTCCAGCACCTACCTTTCCTGATTTTTTGGATCCATCTGTATATATAACAAATCCTCCTTTTTCAGTCCGGTGGTTAATATTCCATTTTCTACGTGTAGTGATCTCCACTTTGTAGGGAATGTTATTCTTAAGAACCGGTTTGATATAGTCCAAGGGGTATTCTAAAAAGCCCTGGTCTATCACTTATAGTATTTTACCATGTTCTGTTGTATCACTCTCCAAAGTCCACATACCTAAGTTGTGGAATCTTAGTGCTGTAGCTTTGGCGTGAGCTTTCACCTCTAGATGCAGAGGAGGCAATCCAATTAGTGCCTCTAATACAACCGTTGGTGTAGTTCTTAATGCTCCAGTGATGGCAATGGCAGCCATTCTCTGTTTGCGTCTAGGTTTTTTCCTAGCTGTAATGATATTGTACGGTGCCCAGACAAGGGCACCGTGTAATATCATAGGTTTAATCACTGATGTGTACAACCAATACATAACTCTTGGTTTAAGACCCTATGTCTTTCCCAAGGCTCTACTGCGAGTCCACAATGTGGTCATTGCTTTTTTGATTCTTGACTCAACATGTGATTTCCATTTAAGCTTACTATCCAAGATAATACCTAAGTATTTTACTTCTGATTTTAAGCTAATTTCTTGTCCATTCAGAGTAAGAGTGTCCAGGCTGTCTAGTCCTATTCTCTTTCTAGTGAACATAACAACCTCTGCTTTATTTGGATTAACAGATAGACCGTACTTACTACACCATATCTGTATAGTGTTAAGTCTCTGTTGTGCTAAGTCAATAATAGTGTCTGGGAATTTACCCACCACTGCTATAACCCAGTAATCCGCATAGGCTTGTGTATAACAATATTTGTTTAACTATCTAATAAGCGATTCCAATACTAGACACCATTGCAAGGGGGATAGAACCCCGCCTTGTGGGCATCCCTGTTTAACACTCTTGATTATTTTGGTCTCATTGAGCTGTCCCAAAATGGAGCGTTCCTTAAGCATGGATTCTATCCACTTAATAATAAGTGGTTTTATTCCATGCTGTTGTGCAGATTCACACATGCATCGAAAGGAGTATTGTCAAAAGCCCCTTCGATGTCCAGGAATATACCTACTGCATACATTTTATTGTCTACAGCTTTCCCTATCTTAGTAGTTAAGCAGTATAGAGCTGTATCAGTAGATTTCCCCGTTTGATACGCATGTTGGTTTTCATGTAAAGGGTTCTCCTTAAGAGGCCCCTCCATGATGTACCTATCAATAAGTTTCTCCATAGTCTTAAGAAGAAAAGAAGTAAGACTTATTGTTCTTTAGGATTTTGCTTCATAATAGTTAGTGGGGTTAGGTTTGAGTATAAACACTACTCTAACCTTACGCCAGCTTTCTGGTTGATAACCATAGGCAAGACATGCCCTAAATATTTTACAGAGATGGGGGACGATTATCTCTAACCCTTCTTGCAGAAGTGCAGGGAATATTTCGTCACATTCTGCAGCTTTAAAACTGCCAAAGGCTTTTATTGCCCATCTTATTCCACTTGGGGTTATCACTTTCCTGGTTAGTCTCCAATCAGCACAGGTCACACGTTTGTCCTGTGCATCATGTTCCTGTTCTCTGTTGTTAATTGTAGAGTCAGGAAAATGTGTGTTCATCAAATGTGATAATGTTTCATTATCATTATTGGTGAACATTCCGTCTGGCAGTAGTATTGCCTCGACAGTTTTGTTTGGTCCATTCCTTAGTGATCGCAGAAGTCTAGTTGCTATAGGGAGTTGTTGTATATCCCCACAGAACTCTCTCCAGCTTTCTCTTTTGGACTTTTTCAATGCAGATTTGTAGTTCCTTTGGGCGTCCTTATAGGATTCCTAGTGTTANGCGTCCTTATAGGATTCCCAGTGTTGTTCCAAACCTGATTTCATTGCTTTATTTAAGAGCTTACGTGAACTCTTTCTTAATTTAGACAGGTTAGCATTCCACCAAGCTACACCCTGCCCTGTACCTTTCCTTTCTATTAAAAGACAGTTTTCTTTGTAGCTGAGACAATAGAGTCCTGTAGCATATTTACAGCCCTTTCAGTACTCTGTCTCGACCTCAATCTAAACTGTAGGTTAATCAGGTCACGAGAGAGATCTGCCCTGTATTTGTCCCAGTTTGTTCTTTTCGGGTTCCTATAGTACTCCGTCTCAACTTTGTTAATTTCCAAAGTGAATCGTAAGTGCCTATGATCAGAAAGAGAAGGTTCGGAGGACACTTTCCACCCTTTTATCTTTTGAAGTAACCCTTTTGAACAAACTGTCAGATCAATGACTTCCTGCCTGTTCCTGATAACAAAAGTAGGTTCACTACCTCTGTTCAGTATACTTAGGTCTGTAGTTAGCAATAGATCTATTATAACCTCTCCTCTTTGGTTGGNATAACCTCTCCTCTTTGGTTGATGTTACTGCTCCCCCAAATAGTGTGGTGTGCATTAGCATCCATACCTAGGATTAGTTCTAATTTTTCATTTTTGCAATTATTAAAGAGCATAGTTAGGTCCCTACCTGGGTCTGCGACCGCATATGGTAAGTATCCTGAAACTACTATTATGTTTTTACTATCATTTAGTGTTACTCTAATAATAGTCAAGTCTGCACTTGATAGATTAAGTATCAGGCTGGCTTTAACTTTATTATTAACCAAAATGCAAGTTCTTGGTTTATCTGCTTGTTTATGAAACAGTTTAAAATCCCTTAGATTTAGCCCCTTAATCTGGTCCCCATTTATCCATGGTTCCTGAATAAGTGCTATTTGTGAGGGTATTGTATGCCTCTCAGTTAGGGTCCTTAGTAATACACTGCTGGCCCCTTTACTGTGATGCAGGTTTATTTGTGTGAATTGAATTCTATTGTCAGCCATTCAGAAAAACTGATGTTGACGCTTAAGAAGCACGCTGTACTGGGTGTGATACAGGTGTCTGAAACAGTCCCTGTGTCACACAGCCCCCCCTGTGGGTGGTGTCCCACCTCCGTCCCCAGGTGGCGACCGTGCCTTGGGTTCGCTCTCCACATTTCCTTTTGGATCCGTGGAGAGGTTCCCCTCAGCTGTGGCCGTTATTGAAGGTGGCGGTTTCCTG